GCAGAATTTAAACTTTGTTAAATACAAGACTGCAATTTTTGGTTTGAGGATAGATCATCATCTAATTGAAAAATCTCGAGAAAGTACACTTTGCTCTCCAAAATATCTTCAATGATTTCAATGTCACTTGCAAATTGTCCCATAAATAAGCGCTACATAATTTATGCGACTAAATTCATCAAACGCTATTCTAAATTAAAGCAAATACATCCGAAGATGATGCAAAATCGTTAACATTATAGAGAGTGCATAAGTCCTTTGCAGAGAGACTAGCATAGACCAAATTTTGTGTAGCGACATCAAACTCAGATCTATCACTAATCCACCGTTAAAAATTGCTTCGAAAGCATTCGGTCATTTCAATGATTAGCTACCCATATAAGAGAGGTAGGAAGGTTATAAAATAAAAAACATTTTGCAAATATCTCAAATTCACTGAAATCAATCAATCATTTTTTTAGTTAAGAAATCAACAATCACAAAACCGTTGAATTCGCCTAAATGCAATTAAAAACTCAAAAGAATGAGCGTTAAAGTCATGAAAATATTTTCACGAAACAATGACAAGGCCAATAGTTATAAACACATTCTTCATTACTTATTCTTCGCCGAATTGCCAGCATAAACTGGATTCTTGAACGTTGTTGTCGCTTGTTTATAGATCGGATTTTCATTCTGAAATTTATTAATAATTTTCAGTAAAACAAAAATAAATATAAACGGAATTCTTGATAGCAACGATTAATAAGGGAAAATCATCTATTCTGTTAATTATTCATTATCAGAATAATCATTCTTAATCATTCCATATTATGCTTTCCCTACTACGGCCGCGTAAATGTGATTTTCCCTTATTAATAATAATACCGAGAATCACCTCCACTGTGCGCACAACAAAAGAATGAAATATTGATAAATTATTGAATATTAGTCACTATCTCTCTCATAATACAACAAAAAATTACCCACAATTCCGAATAACTATCCAATTCAGATCCACATCACTTAACCAATTATCGAAAAAAATCGAAAGAAAAGTCAAATAAAATGAACGTACAGTGTCCCATTTGGCCATAAGCCTCTCGTTATCGAACTTTGCGAATTCAGCACGATCGTGCAGAACGGTGAGAAGTTTCCAGACGAGAAGCAATATTAAGCCAAGAATGACGATACCAGCGATCACGCCCAATACTATGGCCAAAATTGGCACAGGCGGAGGGCAATCTGAAAATTTCAATGAATTCTTTCTTCAAGAAGAACAAAAAAGAGTCGCTGAATCAATTATCTATGATCAATCACTCTGAACAACAATCAACCAGAACAATCCTCGCCAAATGTTTTCATAATAACAAAAAACAAAATCAATGCTTATGATGGCTCACGATAATTGTTTTGACTCGCAGTCAGGCTCAATGTCTTA